TGCCTTGGCTTGCCTTGGTTTGGTTTGGTTTGGCTTGCCTTGGCTTGGCTTGCCTTGGCTTGCCTTGGTTTGGTTTGGTTTGGCTAGGCTTGCCTTGGCTTGCCTTGGTTTGGTTTGGTTTGGCTTGGCTTGGCTTGACTTGGTTTTAGGAGGATAAAGATAATTTGGAGCATGACACTGGAAACCACAGAATCTTATCAAGGGAACCAATTACTGCAACTTTCAATTTTCAAACTTTTATCCTCTATATAGAATGGGCAGTCATTGGCAAAACCAGGAAACTATTGGAGTCTCTTTGGCTAACCAGTCTCCTAAAGGGGTGCCCTTTCCCCCTTGTATTAGTCCCCTGAACCTCCTATCTTTAAGATACCTTTTACCTTCATATTCTCTCCATTCTGTCACCTACCAAAACGTGGTTTGAACAACAAGCTGGAACCGCTTTTCCCTATGATGTGTTCCACTTCTCCCCACTCTCTAAACACTGTCCCAGGGCAATCTCAACAAATATGCCTTCATCAGCCCATATATGCTGACAAATCCCAAATGTACACAATTCTCTTCTGAACAACAGAATTGTAATTCTGCCCATTTGTCATCTCTGTTTGGTGTCTGACAGACCCTTTAATTCAAAACAGACAATATGCACTTTTTAACTTTTCCCAAAATGCTATGCTTCCTCCTACTTCCCCCTTTTGGATCAGTGCTACCACTAGGTACCCAGTTTCCAGAACCCTGGTTCTGGAGTTAATCCTAGACAATTTCCTATCTGTAGATACCTGAGCTAATGTTGTTACCTTTCCCAAAAGACACCAGCAGCAGCAGCCAGGGTAAAAATGAATGACTAGAGAAGATATAAGGACTATTCTTGAAGACATGTGAATCAATTCAAAGAATCCTCATGAATAATGAAGGGAGTGTGGATATTAAAAAGACCAGGTTCTGTGTTAATAACTATATTTGTAGTTAATCAAATCTGAGTTAATCAGATTTTACCAATAGACTGGTAAGACCTAGAAATAGTCAAATTACATAGTTTGGATGTCTGTTTCTTCTGCTGTAATGTAAATCTCTGGAAATTGTGAGCTGAGTTTTATCAGTCTTCAATTTCTCTGTGCCTATGGTGCGTCTCAATATACAGTAGATACTTGACACTGGTTACTATTTATTTTTTTAATTTTTACTGGCTACATTTTAAAGCATTTTTTAAATATTTATTTTTGAGAGAGGAGAGAGAGAGTGTGTGAGTGAGGGAGGGACAGGGAGAGGGGGGACAGAGGATCTGAAGCAGGTTCTATGCTGACAGCCGAGAACCCAATGCAGGGCTTGAACTCCCGAACCTCGAGATCATGACCTGAGCTGAAGTCAGGCACTTAATCAACTGAGCCACCGAGGCACCCCTCAGTGTTGTTTTTGAAACCACGTTCATTCATTTATCTTGTGGGCTTCCACATTTAGATCAGGTCATTTCCTTTATGCTATAAGAACCAATGTCTGATGTTTGTTGTGGTGACACTTATAAAGCTAGCCAGTGGACCATAATGAGGCCTGAAGTCAATAAATAAATAATGTCTGAAAAGAACAGTGAAAGCACAACTTTTGCCCACCAGTCACTACTGACTGTGAAAAGAACGCTGTGCCCATGGCAACCCAGCAGCTGAACTCCAATGGTGAGGGTTTTTTTCTAATCTTGGAAGGGGGGCAGATGTGCATTCACCCGCCTACCATACTTAATAATAACTTCTAAATCTGGCATTTCCTGATAATACAACAAGCTTATAAAACAGCTTTCATCCAAGACCTTAAGAGGCCTCAAATCAAGCAAGTATTATCAGCATTCGAAAGATAAGAAAACCCCCAAAGATTATGCAATTTGCCCAAGGTCAGACAGAAAAACTTACTAAAGCAAAAATACAGCTCAAGGCAACCAACTCCCAGTCAGTTGTTCTAATTAGACAGTCCTCTCCTGGGCTGAGCCTGAAGCTCTGCCTTAAGTTCTCACAAACCTCCAATGGATCAGCTGAAGTCCGGGGAATGTTCCCAGAGGGCAGCGGTGCTTAATTGAACACCTTGCAACTTGCACGATTCTGTTATTAGTCTCATTAATTAGTTTAAAGCGTTTCTCACAAAACAAATTCTCAAAACACACGGAAATTAAGGATCTCCCTCTTGTTTTATAATCTCATAAATTAAGACATTAGAAAAAAAATATAATTGAAATGAATGTATCACATTTCCACTTACAACTCGACAGAAAATAAAGCTACCGGTTTTACCAGGTTAGGGTAACTTGGAAGATTCTGAGGCTTCAGAGGCCATCCACAGACACTCCCTTCACGGTGCAGAGCATTCCGAGTTAAGCAGCACGAAAACAATCACTCAAAAATACTAAGCGATAACGTCTAAGACATTCTCCCTTTCATCTTTACGCTGCTGCATTTGCTGTTCCCTAAACCCTGAACATCCTTCCTTCTCATCTCTCCTTCATCGTGTTAATCATTTCCTGATTCCTTGCCTGCCCTCTCCATATTTTGCCTCACCCCTCCGCAGTGGAATATAGCCCTCTGTGCTCCATGACCCCCTAGGCCTCTCTCTGTCAACTACTTCTCTTCTTGTGCTTAGATGTATTTCTCTCCCGTACCTTCAACTGAGCCCTGTGAGAGCAGGACAAGGGTTTCCATTTTGTAAAGGTGGGAGAGAAGCCAGAAAAGATCCTCATCTCCTGTGATCTAGCTTGATACATAGAAAAGTTTAGGAAAATTGTCCAAAACTGGAAAAGGGGATTTTCCTATTTCAGATCCAGCATGTAAAGAGCTTAGAAGTTGTCGCTCTAATCCTTAGAACAAGAAGAAAGCAAAACACATGAAAACCAATGACTTTTCTTGGACCCATCAGAGGACTGAGATTGCAGGAGAAACTGCCATCCTAAAACCTTGAGAGACAAGCAAATCCAGAGAGTTACAGCTAAGCTCTGCTTACCTAGAGTAGAAGCTGTCTGGTAGAAACACTCACATGGCAATTTGGATGAATTGCTGGAGGCCAAGTGTGGACTAGTGTGAGAATCATAAAGCCTGGGGAGCTGCAGTCTTACAGGGCCCTCTTTGTGGGTTTTACCTCCAGAAACCTTCCAGATTCTCATTGTGAACAGCCAAGAAAGATCCTCTTCTGGCACCGGTAGGGGCAAGCAGAAAGTCACCTTTGTGAAATACCCAGAGCGTTTCTGTAGCAAAGGCCCACTTTACGTGGAAAAAGATGTCATCAGAGCCTAATCCCACCTGGGGATGGGCTTTTTTCTGACTCCAACCCCCTCCGGCCTTGCTGCATTACAAAAGGGGTAAAAGTAACACTAAGAAACACTTGTGAAGATCACAGGCCAGGCCGACTAAAAGACTAAAATTTAATCATCAGATAGTGGAAACCTTCCCTTGCCCACATTTCACCACCACACCAACAGGGCTCCGGTGTAATTGCAATGGATTACAGCTGAGAGAGTTGCAAGATGAAGGCTCTATCCAGGGAGAGATCCTAAGGGAAGACCAAAAAGACCACGCGGGATTGTAAAACAAGGACACTCAAGGAGTTTGAAGCCTCTGACACCCGCAGCTACAGCAAACATTAAACAGCCCTACCGTTCGCCATGTTTTTAAAAAAACCTTCACACACTACAGGCCTTTTTAACCTTAGTTCCTATAACTCAATACAACACGTAGGTATAGCTCTCAACAAAAAAATTACAAGGTACACCAAGGGCAGGAAAAAACTGAAGCAGCAAAGCAAACATTAAAACCGGAGTTGATACAACAGAAATTTGGGATTACGAGACACAGAATTTAAACTACCTATGACAAATGTGTTAAGGGCTCTGACAGCAAAGTAGATAATATCTGAGATCTGATGGGTAATACAAGCAAAGAGATGGAAACTCTAGCCAAGTATCAAAAGAAAATGCTAAAAATCAAAAACACTACAGAAACGAAGAACGTCTTTGGTGATCTCACCAGCAGACTTGTGACAGCCAAGAAAAATCAGTGAGCTTGAAGGCAGGCAAATAAAAACTTCCCAAACTGACATACGAAGAGAAAAAAGAATAAAAAAACAAATGGACCATCCAAGAACTATGGGGTAATTTCAAAAGGTATTACATATGTGTAAAGAGAATATCAGAGGGAGAAGAAAAACAGAATAAAGCAGAAGAAATTTTTGAAGTAATAATGGCTGCAAATTTTTTTCGAAATCAAGGACAAACACCCAACCACATAGCCAGGAAGCTCTGAGAACACCAAGCAGGATAAATAACAAAATAATTTACACTAAGGCATATCATATCAAACTACAGAAAATAAAACACAAAGAAAAAGTCTTGCAAGAAGCTAGACTGGGAGGAGATGGGGTGGGAATCATACCTGTATTAGATCAAGGATTAGAATTATAGCAGACTTCTGTGGCACCTGAGTGGCTCAGTTGGTTAAGCATCCAACTTCGTCTCAGGTCATGATCTCACGGTTTGTGAGTTCAAGCCCCACGTCAGGCTCTGTGCTGACAGCTCAGAGCCTGGAGCCTGCTTTAGATTCTGTGTCTCCCTCTCTGCCCTCCCCTACTCAACCTCTCTCTTGCTCTCAAAATAAATAAACATTAAAAAATTAAAAAAAAAAAAAGAATTACGGTAGACTTCTCATCAGAAATCATGTAAGCAAGAGGAGAGGAGAGTGAAATATTGTCTGTTGAAGGAAGAAAACCAAAGCTGGAAAATAAGATTTTAAAAGGACTTATGTATTTTTATAGGGGGCGGGAGTCTCCTTTTTAACAACTCCCTTGGTGTATAATTGATGTACAGTAAATTGCATATGTTTTA